TGCACCTATGAGTACATATGTTTGGATGTGAGTGTGTACAAGAGGAGACAAATGGTGACTCAGCCACAAAAATGTTCAGCTGTCCCCAGTCCAGGGGCTGCCCCAGGCTGCCATGTCCCCCTGCTCTGCCAGCCCCCAGCAGCAGCTGTTTCAGGCCACAAGCCGGCCAATCCCAGCTAGAGCCTGCACTCTGGGTTAAGAGAGGTAGGCTCAGAAATAGTAAACTACTGTTTTCTTGCCGACTGTTTGCCCTTATTAATTCAGGTAGCAATTACCCATTCTGAATATTTGGCGACTAATTAGTTTTCCCCCGTGGAGACGCAGAAGGAGGAACACTGTGCTCTGACCTGATCCACTTTCTCAGTTCCCTGGGGTGGTGGTGGGGAGGGGATGGAGTGGGGGAGTGAGCGCTGCAGGGACTTCTGCTCAGAGCCTGGGGTGGCCTTCGGCTGCTGGGGTCTCGATGGCACATGTCTAGGAGGATAAAAATAACCCACCCAATTTAGGTTTTGTTCTGGCTTCCGTGTCACTGGCCCGTTTCCTCTGTGGGTGCGTCTCCTGGCAGTTTGCCTGGTGATGTAGGTGGTGTAGTCAGAGCCTGGGTTCAGGTTCGGGGCTGTGCTCCAGGCTGAGTAGCCCCAGGCTGAGTGTCGCCTCTTTGGGAACTGTGTCCTGGGAATGCGCAGGAGACTACTGCTGACAAAAGGGATAGGGTGCTGTGGGGAGGGTGCCTCTACCACCCCCGAAGGAGGGAGGCTGAGGACTGAGTGTTCAGGGCCCAGGTGAGAAGGGAGCGCAGGTGACTGTCCACCAAACCGAACCGCAGGCTGTTCCTTATCAATCATCAGTCGCCAAGCCCCTGGGTCAATATCTGGCCTTTATTTGCCTTTTCAGCTTTTGAACTTTTGGTTCCTGGGAAGAGTTGTCAATGACATCATCTGGTTCCCAGAGGCCCCTCAGAGAAAGGGTCCTGACAGGAGGGTTGGTGATCCTTGCTGGTCAGTGGCACAACCCAGAAGCTCTGGAATTGGGACGTCCTCGGGCAGGAGTCTGTTTTGGGAAAATGGTAAATGAGTCAAACATTTGGACTGCTGCACCTTTGCTGGTGGGGGGAGGGGCAGACGGTGGGGACACACGCAGTTCAGGCCCCTGCAGCCCAGACTGGGAGGCTGCCTCTAACAGGGGCGCAGGAGCTGTGAGTCACTGGCCTTCTGCCTGCCATGGGGTGGGATGTTTCTCTGAGAGGTGCTTTCTGCCCCGGGACTGGGAGTGCTCCAGGTCACCATCTTTCTCTGCCGGGTCCTCTGGAGACACCTGAGCTGGGCCTCAGCATTCATGGTCCTCCGTGTCCTTGACACTTGGCGCTGCCTGTCTGCCTACGCAGGGCTGACATTTGCACACAGCCCACCTACTTATTGTAGTTCAAGGCCAGGAGCTCCCTCTTCTGTATGTCTGGGTTTTCTCCAGGGCCTAGGCTGTGTCCTGGCCTCTGGCCCTGGGAATGGCTGGTGTCCGGTCACCACTCAGGCTGGTTCCCCTGAATTACAGCAGCATTAGCACCTCTGCAGAGTGGCAGTGGAAGCCCCCGGGCCTCGGGTTCAGGTCTGAGTCCCGCTTCTTCCAGTTACGGTTGACCTTCCTTAAGTTCTTTTGTTCACTCTATTGCCCTGGGTAGAGTGCCCTGGCGTCACAGCTTTCATCACAGCTTACAGCAACCTCAAACTGTTGGGCTTAAGCTATCCTCTTGCCTTAGCCTTCCAAATAGCTGAGACTACAGGTGCCCACCACAATGCCCAGCTGGTTTTTCTATTTTTAGTAGAGATACCGGTCTTGATCTTGCTCGGGCTGGTCTCAAACTCCTCTCTCAAGCAATTCACCCGCCTCAGCCTCTCTACATTATAGGCCTAAGCCACAACACTCGGCCCCTTATACAAGTTCCTTAAGCTCTTGGAGCTCCACTTTCCTGGTTATGTGTGTGTTTTGGGGTATGCTACCTGAATATTTGTCATCAGAGGGAATCAGATGCTCAGGGCACACAGCTATGTGAACTGGGGCTGCAGGGAAGAGAGTCTGTAGAGGCTGCACTTGAGTTTGCAGCCTGGACAAGTGGCCTTGGGTCTCTTTACTCCCCAGGAGGTAGAGGAGGTGAAGGGCATTGCTCCTTCCTGCAGCCAAGAAAGCTCCCTGCTGTGCCTGGAAGTGGCTGGCTTACAGGGAAGGTCAGAGGTGACTTCAGGCGTTTTTTTCAGGTCACCCAAGGGGCAGGGTTTAAATGAGTACCCTCATAGAATGCCCAGGTTGGGACATGAAGTGGCTTTGAGGCCTGGCTCATCTGAGAGGGAGATTGCAGCCCCTTCCTCCAGGCCGCACCTGACCTGGCTGGGAAATGTGCTCAAAGTCGTGCACACAATTCCTTCAGCTGCCTTGGGAAATGCAAAAACACCAGGTGCAGGGCTATGGGTAGGTCCCATTTACATTACCTGGGGCTTCTCTGTCCAGGCTGCCATCCCCCACCCTGGCACCAGAACTTCCTCCCACAAACCCGGGGGTGGGGCTCTCTCTTGCCAGTTCACCTGAGGAATGTGAGCCCCTGGCAGGGCAGCACCCAGCTGCAGGGAGGGCCAGCATAGTTTCCACAGGACACCTGCCTCCCCACTCAGATGGAACTGTGACCTACAAAAGGCAAAACCGTGTGGCTTCTTTGGAGATGGGGGTCCTTGGTCCAAATTCCTCATTACCTGGCTGGACTTGGGGAAGTCAGGTCACCTCTGGCTTCTCATCTGAACGTGGGCATGGCAGTGTTTCCTGAGGCTGCTGGGGGATTAGACAAATTTAAGGATTGTGGAGTGGCACAGGCAGGGGCCACTTTCAGTTTATTCTGCATTCACTGAAGTGCCTGACCCAGGGCAGACACTCAGGAAATGTTTGTTGAATGAATAGGTGGAAATCAAAGGAGGGTTCCCAGAGGAGGTGGCATTTAAGCTGAGGCTCACAGGGAGAGAAGGGAAAGGAGCCTTGTTTTGTCATAAACCCTGCATGTGGGGATGGGGTGAGTGAGTTTCTGGAGGAAGGTCTGTCTGTTTGTTCAACAAACATTTACTTACTTCGGGCTTGGCCCTGTCTGTGGCTCAGTGAAGGCCAAGATGAGGCTGTTGAAGGTGCTGGCAGGCTAATTAAAAGGGGAGACCCACCTGGAAGTCAGTCAGCCCCCCCCCCCGTACCCCTTCCCTGGGGACCCTGAGCAGGGAGGGGCAGATGGGGAGGAGGGCAGTCAGCAGAGGGCCAGGAGGGAGGGCACAGCTTCCAGGATGTGCAGGTGCTGGGGAGGCCCCTCCAGGAACTTGGGGACTTCGATGTGGGGATGTGAGAGTCTGTCACTGGCAGCAGCTGCTGGCAGGTGGCAGGGGCTGGGCGCTGGCCTTTTAAGGCAGTGGTGCTCATGTTGTACTAAGCTTAAGTTACCTGAGAAATAAGTCCAGATCCCTGGTGCCACCCCTCTAAGATTGAGTCAGCGCAGCCGAGGAATACACATTCACTTTCCTGAGTGTGTTCTCCGTACCAGGGAATGCTGAGGCTGATTCTTTGACTTAGTAGAAACACCTGCTGGAAGCGTGCCCAGCCTCGGGAGCTGGAAACTCTTTAGAGTCCATGAGATTGTCACTTCTGCAGGAGGCCAGGCCCTGCCTGGATCAGGGAGGCCCCGCGTAGCAGGGGCATCTCATGGGACACTGAGTTCCTTCCTCCGTCTACTGATAAGCTGACGGTCCTCTTTCGCCTCATTTCTTGTAGTTCCCTGTGTCCCTCCCCGCTTGAGAAAAGACCTTCAATCAGGTTATACAGATACAAAAATACATGAATACATATCATAAATTAAAAGTGGAGTTAAAAAAGATGACAAAACCCAGGAGGGGAGGATGTAGGCGGGAGTCCCAGTGCTCACTGCATTTACACCTGCTGTGATTTCTCCCAGGTGCCAGGGCAGCTCTGAGTCTGTGGGGCGGGTTAGGGTTAAGGCCCTTCTTCCTCCTTCCTCTGAAGAAAGCCAAAGCTATCCCACCTGGTTTTATTTGCTTGACAAAAGCTTGTGCTTCTTAGTAGGTGTGCAGAGTGGAGGAAGTCCTGTTTGGTGGTGGGAAGGGCTGGACCCACACTGCTGGGTGCAACAACCAGTGACATTTTGTGCCTGTGATTGTGGCTTCCTGAAGTTGCTGTCTCCTGAATGGACTGCAAGCCACTGTGCCTGCCCCAGGCTTCCCAGGCCCTGCCCAGGCCTCAAGTCAGCTCTCAGGGGAAGTGTCCAGGAGCCTAAGGGGATCCAGAAGCTGCCATCTTTTGGGGCGTCAGGTGGAAGGGGATGCAACCTGTTCGCTCTGTGGTCCAATGGAGGACAAGAGATCTGTGCTGTAGAAAGCACTTAAAAGCAACAGATTCTGGCTGGCTGGCGGGGCGGCAGCACAGGCTTCTGGAAGCTCCATTTTATAGGTCTGTCCCCTCACTCGACCTGCTTTCCTATTCCTGATAGAATGGACCAACGTGAGAGTTAATGAAACTCCAGGCTGAGCTTCCACCACATCATCAGAGTAAAACAAGCTACGCTATGTGGACAGCAGTGATGGAGCCCACTTGTCCAGGGAGGGCCTGTGTGGTGTTTTTGTTTGTCAGAAATCCATTTAGGGAGCCATTCCTGAGATTTGCTGTCATTTTAGCCAGTTCCTTTTTTAAATAACTCAGTTGATTTTTTTCCCCCACTGTTCTTTTTTGAGGTTGTGACTTTCTCTAAATAGTAGTTATTAAATAAAACCAAAGGCAAATCTGGGAGGACGCTGTTTACAAGTATTATTCTGGACTCCTCGAGTTGCTCCCTGAAGGGAGAGTGTGATGGTGCAGGGTGCTCGAGTGATGCCCTCTCTGCCATAGGCCAGTTTCTTACATTTAAAACTGTCTTTAAGGCCCTTCTTCTCTTGTCCTCACTCTCCTAACTCCACTTTCCCAGGGCTTGTCACGTGTGGCTCCTGCTGCAGGGTCTGGTGGATGTCCTGGCACTTGGTGGCGCTTTGTCGTGCGGTCACTGCTGCTGATAGTAAAGGTAAGAGTGCCTGGGGGTCTGAGCCTGGGCTCCCTGTCCTGGGAGCCTGAGAGCCCCGGGAGGAGGGCCAGGCAGAGCTATGGTGGTGCGTAGCATTAGGAAGGGCACGCAGGGCATCTGTCTCTCAAGGGTGTCTCTGCCCAGCCCAGGGCCATGGAAGGAACAGAGGCAGGTGTGAGAGCCAGAGAGCAAGGATGCTCCAAGGTGACCGCTGGAGCTAGTGTCCAGGCTGGTTACAGTGGGTCATTGCCACCAGGAGGGATGGATGGTTGGGTTGATGGCAACAGCTGTGGCTCGGCTACAGTGCCAGGGAAGCGGTAATGGGAACTCAGCTGGTCTGAGGCTGGCAGTGGTCCGAGGCTACAGATCCATGGGGTTGGCTGCTGTGGGACTGCTGGTGGGTGCCCCAGAGGGAGTGGCTAGGGACAGGCAAGACCAGGGACAAACCCCGGCTCCCTCCCTCCCTGCCCTCCTCTTTCCCCTTCCTTTTGTTATTCAGTCATGCTTATTAAGCATCTAGCCTATTCCAGGTACCAGGCCAGGTGCTGGGGAATTAGAAATGGAGGAGGCACTCCTGCTACCAATGATGAGCTTAGGGTCTGGGGCCACAGGTGCCCATGGAGGCTTCTCTGAGCTTCCTCAGCAGAAACAGGCCTTACATAGCCCCAGTAGTGTAAGGACGTCCTGGGCTGTCCTGGCCATATATATATATATATATATATATATATGTATTTTTTACATCTCTCCTTCTGTACTGAGGGGCCTTGACTCTTCTTCTGGGTTGAAGACCAGCAGTACCAGCTCACCTGGCCGCTGGTGAGGAATGTAGACGCTCAGGCTCACCCAAGACAGGTGAGTTAGAGTGCATTTTAACAAGATCTAGCCATTTAAGTCTGAGGCCTGTTTCCTTCCCTAAGTCTGAAAATACACAGAAATATTTCCACGTGGAATTCTGGAAGAATTGACAACCTGGCCCCCCTGGGGCTGCTCAGCTTGGAAAGCTTTTGAGCAAATGTGAGAGGTTGGAGTTCACTCCCAAGCTACTTGGGGATGGGGATGGGGGCCCAGGTGCCCTCTTCTTGGGTTTAGAACAAAAGCCTGGAAAACACTGGTGAAACATGGGCTGCCAAAGGCCAGCACGATGAAGGTGAGCTCCAGTCTCTGCACCTACACTGACTTCTGGAGGCATCTTGGGTAACCTATGTCACTACTCCCAGACATTTTATCCTCTATAAAACAGAGGGAATAAAGATTCTTTGGGGTTGTTGAGAGAATGAGCAGATCCACAGTGCAATCAGCAATCTGGAGAGAGGTGGAACCTCCAGCCCCTTACCACTCAAGTTGGGGGAATGCCTGCTGCCAGGCTGTCCTGAGGATTAAGTGAGATTACAGATGCAGTGCGCCCAAGCGGGATCTATTATTTTTGTAACAATTGGCTTGTGTAACTACCCTGCAAGTTGAGCCAAGGTGCAGGGTTGGGGGCAGCCCTGGCATGTGACTCATACCCAGAGACAGGTGTGGCCAGTGGAGAGAGAGGCCCCCTGTCTGGGGCAATGTCTTCTAGAGTGTTCATGAAATCACCACTTACTCAGGGTACTCAGGCCTGGATTCCCGAGGGAGTCTAAGAAGTATAGAAGTTAATGTGTCACGTTGCTAAGTAGATTCCTTTACAAAGGTGCTTTCTCTCTGAGGGAAAGACAGATGTGAGGGTTGCTATGGCAACAGGTGGTCTGTTGTTTGGAAGAGCATGGCACAGTAGGGGAGGGGGTGACTCCTGATAATTTATGGTCCTGGAAGGTAAGGCTCGTCCGGGAAAATTTTAGTGAGGACTTACCTGCCTCCTGGGCTTATATTTCCAAAGAATGGAAGTAGAAAGAAAAAAAAATAAGAGTCTATGGATACCTAGACCCTTGAAGAATTAGATGGTTTGGGATCCTCTGAGAACATTTATTAACCTGTGGATTTCTTTGTAACAAACAGAGCTGCAATTTTGCCAGGTTAGGAGCAGAATCTATAGCTGGTCATGACTTTATTTCCATATAATGAATCTTCAGTGAGTGCCTACTGTGTACATTGAAGGTCAAGAGGGGAGGAGGCAGAATATGAGAAGGAATGAGACATGGGCCCTTCAGAAGTCAGGGTGGGAGGGAGATGGACACAGGCAGATTGTGGGAGAGGCATAAACTGCAGTCTCCAGGTCACATGGGGTGGAGTGGATGAGTTTGGAAAATGGACTATGCCACGCTGGGGAGTCTGGACTCTCCCACTGGAGGCTTCTCTTACCTGGGAACATGAGCCGGTCAGCCAGGCAGTTGGCAGGCCGGGAATGGAGAGGCCCAGGCAGGGGCATGGAGGGTGGGGGATATTCAACCATCAAGGTGAAGGGTGACAGGTGTCAGTCCTCACCTCTGTGCTGGTGGGACCAACAGGGGTTCCCCGGGTGGATGCCCTGGCTCAGCTGGTTCCTCAAAGCCCTGAGAGCTGGCTGCCTCATTGGGGCCCTGGCTCTGGCTGAAAAAGTGGTTCTGCCCAAGCCCCTCAGAGGGTTCCCCATCTTAGTCAGTGGGGAAGGCCCTCTGCAGAGTGGCTGGACCCAGGGCTCTGGGCCAGATTTCTTCATGTGCTTCTGGAGGGCGCCTTTCTCATATCCTAGACAGACTCCCTCTCCCCGTGGGTCTGGCCTCCCATCAGCTCTGGCCGGGACCACATTTCCCAGGTACTGCTCCTCTGCCTGGCACCCCCCAGAGACTCAGTGCTGGTGACTGAACCCCAGAGGCACAAACCTTCCTGAGATATGATATTCAGGAGTGCTGAGAGTGGGAACAGGGGAGAGTGTGTCCAGAGTATGCTGGAAGGAACTGCAGGTGTCCAGAGGGGCTCCTAGGAACCTCTGGTGTAACAATGATCTGATTAGAGCTAGGCAAACAAAAACCCCACGAGTGAACAACTGGAGCCTGCTAGGGGCAGAGGGGCACCTTGCTCTGTGGTCTTCAGCCCTGAGTGGAAGGGCACAGACTCCAGGGTGCCGGGGAGGTTGGCCCTGGAGAGGCGTCCCCATCCTGGAGCTTCCTGTACTTCCTGCCATCTGTGCTTTGTCCTGTAGTGAGGAGGGACTCTGAGAGCCCATGGAGGGCTCGTCTGTTCTGGAGAGGGCCCCATAGCAGCCTGCACCCCCAGTTCACCAGTGTGCTTGGGCTGCCTCAGTGCACCCATGGGGAGTTTAATGCAAAAGTGTTTGTAAACTATGATTCAATTCCATGGTTTTTGAAAGATGAAACAAAAACATTTATTTTTTTCCAGAACATAAAATTGATAAGATGTTCACAGCATACAATTTGGGAAATACACCCAGAAAGGAGAAAATGAAACAACCCAGTGCACCACCACCCAGCACACCACCACCCAGATGCAAACACTGTTCGTATTTTGTTATATTTCCTGCCATTCTTTTTGTTTTGTTCCTGTACACAAATTTATATCTTGTCTTTCCTTCAGCCAAAACTGAATCACAGTCTATGTAGAGCTTTGCAATCATCTCTTTTTCATGTAGTAACATCTTATAAACACATTCCCTTGTGAGACTGCATCAGTTATGGCTGCCTACAATTCTGTCCTGTACAGATCCCACGTTTTGTCCAAGGGTCTCCTCTTGAGGGCTCAGTTAGGTTATTTCCAAATTTTCCCTGTTCTGAGCAGTACTATAGTGACTGATTTTGCTTCCTTTTGAGCTGAATGAACAGTTTTAATACAGCAGTTTTCAACCTGTGGGTCGTGACCCCTTTGTTCCATTTGTAACAACGCAGCAATTAGGAAGGTTGAGAACCACTGTTTTAGTAGGAGACATAGGAGTGTCGACAGGGTTTTTCTTCCAGACAAACGCCCTCCCAGGTTTCCCTCGTGGCTCAGGTCTGACTGGCCACGCTTTACCCTGAGCAGAGGCTAGTTTATGTCCTGGCATTTTCCAGGCTCTGTGTCTGTATCTCTTCTTTTCTTGTATGCATTTTCTGTACCTATTCTTCCTTCCTTCCTTCCTTTTTTTTTTTTTTTTTTTTTTGCAGTTTTTGGTCGGGGCTGGGTTTGAACCTGCTACCTCCGGCATATGGGGCTGGTGCCCTACTCCTTTGAGCCATAGGTGCTGCCCTCTATTCTTTCTTGAATGAGAAAAAAATGCCCCTGCTTATGAGAACAAAGAGAACCAAGCCAGGGGTGCACCAGCGAATGGCCCCTTCACTTGCTATCCAGTAAGCTGTCCATGAAGCCTGGTGGATTTTGACCAGGGCCAAGCCATGAGTTGCCCCTGCCATTGTCCCCTGAATGCTTTCTTCTCCGGTATTGGACCTGAGTTCCCCTTACAGTGCCAATCTCTGGCTGGATCAGCACTTTTTATTCCCCAATCACAGCTGAGCCATCTGACTGTCCTCAGACCCCAGAGCAGGCGCTGGTCTTGTTCTCCTGGCCACTGATTTCTTGGTCACACTTGTAAAGATCCATCCCTGGAGGGCAGAGGCCCTCTCTGAAGACTGCCCTGCCCCAGTGACGCCATTTCCTGTCGAGAACTAGGATGCCTGAAGCAGAGTTTGTAAGGGGCATGCTGATGCCTCTGAGGAGCTGCCTCCATGAGTATCTCCACCAGGCAGAGGGGGAGGACAGGAAAGCACCATCTACTGCATAACAGTTAGGACTTGGACCCTGGCCTGGTGCATGCACAGTGGCTAATGACTGCTGACCTCAGATTTGGGCTGTCTGGTCACACTGCAGTCATCGACCTGGTACTTCAACGCTTTGTAACCCACAGATCTCGACTCAGTAGCTCGCCATGGCGACAGTATGTCACTGACTAGGACAGACTTGAGTCGGATGGCGGTGGTGTGAAAGGTCAAGCTGCCAGCTGCATGAGGCCAGTGGGCAAATTCAGGTAGTGCATAGGCTGTACAGGCCCAGCCAAATCCCAAATCTCCCTCTCCGGTCAGACTCACATTAATCATGCATGGTGATAATATATCCCAGATGTCAACTTATTATTAACATTATTTTACCACTTTATTGAGGTCTGATTGACATATAAAAGTTGGACATATCTGATATATACAACTTGATGAGTTTGGAGGTGGGCGCACACCTGTGAAACCATCACCATGATCTATGCCATAAACATTTTCATCATCTCCAAAAGGTTTCCCTACGATTATATTATCATATTATATAGTTTTATGATAAAAACATTTAATGTAAGATTTATTCTCTTAGCACACTTCTAAATATACAGTACTGTGTAGTATTGACCACGGTAGGCACTACATTGTATAGTAGCTCTCCAGGGCAGTGTTTCTCAACCTTTTTTAATCTCACGGCACACTTGAACCTATAGCTCAACTTCAGTGGCACACTTCAGTTGTGTTGACCAAAAAAGCTAAAAAAAAAAAAAAAAGAATATACTTACTGTTCTTTGAACTTCTTTAGAAAATAATTTATCTTTAAAATTGTCTGACAAAGGGTTGATAACTAGAATCTACAGAGAACTCTAATTAGTCAACAACAAAAAAAGAGCAAACACTCCCATCAAGAGACATGAAGAGAACCTTCTCTGCGGAAGACAGATGAATGACTAACAAACATATGAGAACATGATCATCCCCCTAATCATTAGAGAAAAGCAAATCAAAACCACCCTGAGGTATCACCTAACCCCAGTGAGAACAGCCCACATCATAAAGTCCCAAAGCTGCTGGGGTGCAGATGTGGAGAGAAGGGAACACTTTTACACTGTTGGTGGGACTGCAAACTAATATAGCCTCTTTGGAAAGAAGTATGGAGAATTTTCAAAGAACTAAAAGTAGACCTTCCATTTGATT